ATCTCACATAGCAGTCATCATTTGCAACAGCCAGATTGCCTCATGCAACTGCTTTTTGTAAGCACCCTTGGTTCAGCCCCTCGGTTGCCTCTTCAGCAAGCCGTGTGGGATTAGTGGTGCTAATGACGTTTATCAATACACAAAGAGAGGCAACGTCTTTAAAAGCCAGTGCTTAGCTGGGCACTACTGCTCACATGATCTTTGCCTAACATTTTATGCCACTCTCTAGTAAAATACAGGATTCAGAGGACATCTGTAGCCTACTGTTTGCAGATATGCAGCCCTGTCCATGCCAGAGGGAAAACTCTGGGCAGCCTGAGGTGAAATACAAAATGGGGTCACGGAATTAGAAGCTCTTTATTCAACAACAACAAACATTTTCTGCGGTTGTGCAAGAGCTACCAGGCACTAGGCTGAAGTGCAGGGTGTCAAGAAAAAGATGTGAGCACTGCTGTTCCTCAGCTCCTTGGGTTCGCTTCCTCTCCCATCCAACATGGAGAGGTTCCCCATTTTGCCAGCAGCAGCAATGCAATGCAAGCAAAGCAGGAACCGCTGCTGTTCCTCCTGCAGCAGCCCTGTAGGTTTCAGTGCAGCTTCTTGCAGGGAGCAGGTCCTTTTGCCCAATGCGGACAAACGGGGCTGGAGTGCCCCATGGCCAAGTTTCCTCCCCACCTTTTGCAGTTGTCCTCTTTTCCTGCTCCCCAAGGTTTTGCTTTGAGCAATAGCCCCTGCTCTGCTCCCTGTCCTGTCCCTGCCTTCTGCTCAGGGCTGAAGAAGCCAGCTACACTGGGGAGAAGGTGCCACTGCAAACATGGCTGGTATGTCCCGCTGAGACCAGATCACAGATACGAGACACGAGATACACCATTTCACACTCCCATGGCACTTTCCTTCACGGTCCCCCGAAAAGTGAGCAGCCAGCCCTGTGCAGGCAAAGGGGAGTAAGGGATAGCTACGCACTTGTAGCCATGCAATTAGTATTTTTAAATAAATAGAGCTTTTGAAAATGCGATTAAGCAAATGAGGGGATAATGTAAAAATCTGAATTGCTAATTAAAAAATACACATGCTTGTAACAATATTATGTTGATAGATAAACTTATTCGGTCCTAGCAGTTTTCTTTTAATAATTTTGCTGCTCACTGTAATAACCACAACTAAGAAAAAACAAAAGACGACAGTCACCCATTTCAATCAGACCAGACTATCGCGCCTTAGGGCGCGTTTCCGCCAGCCCCACGCGCAGGACGCCTGCTGCAATTCTCTGACTTCACAGGCATTTTCCACAACACGCCACACAATGGTAGCACTAGTTATCACAGAGGGAGATCAAAAGCCCTCCATCTAGGGCGTCTCTCTCTTCCTTACCTGGTGGTAAATGGCCTCCCAGTTCTCCCTGAGCGCTCCCCAGCTGCTGATGGTGGAGGACTTCTTGTCCAGGTAGATTCTGATGTGCTCCTCCAGCTCCTGGTTGACCTGCTCGAGCGCTCGCACCTTCTCTATGTACTCCACCAGGCAGCCGTTGAGGCTCTCGTAGGAGAGGCCGCGGCCCTTCTCCAGCCCCGGCGCCAGGGGCACGGCGGAGCACGAGCTGCGCAGGCCCTGCAGGAAGACGCTCGTGATGCCCAGGGCCCGGCGGGACACCCGCGTGCCCAGGCTGCTCACTCCTCCCGGCGGCGCCG